TTATTTAAAAAGAAATACAAGTGGTAGTAGGGCATAAACACATGCACAGCCAGGTAGTTTTTTGCTGGATTATTTTTTTTACATATCACTGAAAAAAGTCAAATATTTCCAAGGCTGTTTCTCTTTAAAGCAGTGCCTAAGAGAGGCAAACACACTCACCAAATAAAATAATGTAGATGAAAGTGCTCTGTGAACTTTAAAGAGTCGTACATATATGAAAAGCTATTATTGGCATCTGCCTGGTGCATCCCGAGAGGAGGGCTTAGATACACATTGGGAGCTTGACTGTATTAATTCATCTCAGGAAATGAACTTGGCTGAAGACCAATGATCTTTGAGTCCTTTGAAAAGGATGGTGCCTGCCGTATAGAACCATCATGGCTCTGAAAACCTCATTTCTCCTGTAGGCTCTTTACTGTCACATACTGAGAGATTACTTTTATTCTTCCTTGGCCTCCCTTTAAGCTCATCACATTCTATTTACGCTAAGCCTTGCTGTAGCTGTCCTCAATGTTATGCACTGCTAATTCCACTTCAGACATTCGCTCTCTACCAGGCACACCTCACCTCTTCCTGCTTCTCATTTCAACAGTTCCTAGGTGCCACTCCATTGGACTTCCTCTGCTTGATTTATCTTGATGAGAATAATTAGCTTCCCTTATCCCAAACAATTTTCGGTGAAATGTAATTTAGAAAATCTTCCTTTCACAAAGCCTTCTTTGTCCCAAGATTTTTCCACAGACATTTTCTGACTCTGTAGAGACCAGTGCTCCACTTGTACAGATAGATGTCCCTGTGGCTTGGAAGACCCACATGCTGGGTATAGGACTGTCACATTATTGTTGTCCATTCAGTGTTTCAAGGAATCATCAAATGATAGAGATGTCACTCTCAGACCGCTATGAATTTTATGGATCTGATATTTATCATAAGGAGGCAGTGACTTTAATTTCATTTTTCAAAATAAGAATAGTACACCTAATTGTTTTATGTTAATATATGACTCTTCTTTCTCTAGGACAGAAGTCACTAGTGCAGCCTACAGAGCCAGTTAACTCTTCCATTGCCACACTTTCCTTTCCATCCTTCCCCATCCTGGACATTCTGGATTTTCTTTTGCCCTAAGAACATCCCTGTCCTCTGGCTGAAGTGTTGTCTGTCACTTTTTCAACTACTGTAACCCAATCCCTATTCACTGACAGCTCAGTTCACCTGTCCCTTTTCTCCAACAGGTTCTCTTTGAACAAACACCTTGAATGAAGCTGATCTTCCTTGATGTCTTTCATAGACTTGATGGAGGCTAAATAAGACCTCGGATGATGGGTTTGATAATGAGATGCTTCTGCCGGTTACAAACCTCCTGAAGGCTAACACTGTGTCTTTCTTACAGCTTCTGTCACAACGCTCACATGGAGTAGAGCTCCAATATCTAAGGTTCCCATATGACTGACATGGTGAATTCTTAATGAAAAGACGTGATCACGACGATGAAGGTAAATGATTTGGGAAGGGATCTGCATTCCATGATAGTAAAAAAAAAAAATAGTAAAAAAAAAAAAAAAAACACTGACATTATTCTCCAAAGGCTAAATGTAGCAGTTTTCAAATCTTTTTCTACGATATAACCATCTCCTCAGTTCCTTTAATTCCTGTTTCAAAACTCAGGGTTGAAGAAGTAAATTATAGGGCAAAAACATGTCTCTCTTTCATTCTATTTTCTTCTGTTTTGTCAGGTAGAGCACACAATTAGGACCAAGGGACTCTTCATACAGCTAAACACCTTAAATAACACATTCCTTAGGGAGAACACAATTCAGTCACTAGACACATTCAGATTCAACCAAATCTCCTTGGAAACATAATTTCCTCTGGGCAAAATATTTATCCATTGCAGGCATATGTTGAGCGTGATTTGCCTATGAGCTCAAATGGCTTCAGTCATGGTAGGAAGTCACAGAAGAAAAGGAAGAGGAATACACTCTCCAGGATTTCTTTTTGTTTAGGGACAGAAAGGAGGGAACAATTACATTACTTGATTTTCATTTTACGTATGTTGGTTTGATTTTACAAGTTATTGAATTTGATGGCCATAAACTACAACATCACAACATGTAATTCCCTCTTTACAACTACAGCAACAACAGTAGAAGCAGGTAATTCTATTGATTCACGCATCCCAGATAAAGAATGAGATTATAAAAAACTAGACTTGTAATTGGGTTATAAAATTCTCTTGGCTCACAAATTACTTATTAGTTCTGCTTGTGTTTCCATGTCCCCACCTCATAGTTCTTTTACTTTATTTCCAGAGAGAATGTGCAGATAATATTATCTCATACATCTTTTGTTTACTTGAAATAATAATAAAAAGCAAGAACATATCTGTCAATAGGATGTTGGTCTATCAATCTCATTTTTATTTGGCTTACCTTGTTTATTTGCTATTAAGTATATGATTTTGTACTTCTTTCACTATAGGTAATATATGGCAAATATTTTCAGCAATTAGGGCAGTAGGTGAGATGTAAACACATTATCCTACAGGAAAAGTAACGATGGCTGACCAATGGAAGAGTGTGGGAAGTGTGGACGGTGAGACAGAGGTAAAGGATGGCTTCAAGAGCAGGAACATGAGAAACTAAGTATAGATGGTGGTGCATGGTTAACTAGATAATGGATGTTGATGAGCATGTCATCTCTTGTGGCATCTTAAAGGACTGTAAGAAGTATAGACTTGAGTTTTCTAAAACCAGCTGTGTCCTGTGATGTTTCAGAGGCAGTGACTCTACCGAATGTTAAAGCCCATCTGTATTTTTTATACAGGGCAAGTGGGTTGCTAGTCTCTATAAAATACCATCAGTCATATGACTGGCGTTTTGATCTCCCTTTCCTCAGACAAATAAATACTGGAGAAGTACCAACTTTTCTTTACAATTAGACGGGAAAATTAAAGCTTAAAATGATACATTTTCCTACTTGTTAGCAATAGAAATTCTAGAAAGCTTAATAATTTTTAGACAGTATACTGAAAATACAGGTAACAATGATAGAGATTTATTATGAGTTATTTTTAAGTTGCATGTGAGTGTTGAATGCATGTTGGTGTACATGTGTGTGGACATTGAATGCATGGACATTCTTCTCTACCACCCCCTCCACATTCTCTCTTTATTTTCATTTTTTTAAATTTTCTTTTTATTTATTCTTTGTGTATTTCACATCATGAATCTTGATTCCAAGTATTTCCTGTCCTGTTATATACTCCTTCTGCCATTGTAACACCCCCAAAATAAAATAAAATTTAAGAGAAAAAAAGAAAAAACAAGAAAATAGGAAAAAGCTAGTCATGGAAGCCATACTGTGACACAGTACATTGCACAGTACACTCTTTTGTCCACATATAATTGGGTGCAAGTGTTCATTGCAAAGAGTCATTGGTCTGGTCAAGGCCTCTGGTTTCTGCTACACTAGTGATGCTGGACCCTCACTGGGACTCCTCTTGGCTATCCTATTGCCCTGTGTTGTGGAGATCCTGCAACTTTTGGGTCTACAGGACCAGCCCCTTCACATACTTCAGCAGGTCATAGATGGGGTGGATGTTGGGATGGACCAACCCATAGCCCTGGTCCTGGGACTGGGTAGTTGCAGGGCTGGTCAGCCTGCCAGCTTTCCACTTTTCTCATCACCAGAGTGGGCTCTCCAGCAATGCCCCAGCAAGTTAACCACTTGCTGCAATGAGCAAGGGGGTAGGCCAGTTCTGTTTTCATACCCTTAGAGTTTGCTCTCCTACAGCTGGACCATCAGGGCTCTATTGTGTTGCCCAGGCAAGGTACAGGGGTCACTCTCCCAAGTGCTGCATCTGGTGAGGGGCAGGGGCAGCTCTCTGTAACACTCTTAATACCTCAGAGCCAGCTATCCCACCCATCACAGGCAGAAAGGGTAGGGTGTAGGGCATTTCTCCCTGTCCATACTGCCATATGGCAGATGAGGGGCGGAGCCAGATTTCCAACATGCACATTCTCAGGGTCAGTTCATCCATACACCTGTCAATAGGGTCATCTCTACTATCCTTCCCAAGCCAGGCGCAGGGTCCACTTTCCCAAGTGCTACAGCTGGTAAGGGGAGGGTCAGCTCCCTCACCCACTGCCCACCCCAGTTGGTAGAGGCAAGGGGGCTCTAGATTCTCTTAAGAGTCTACTACACTGAGCCTGGAGCTCAGCTGGTGTTCAGCAAGCCCCAGTAATCCTGATCCTCCACACAGTGCAGGGTAGGCATGGTCAGAGCCAACTTCCCAAGGATGCCAGGGATGCAAACTTCTGTCCCCTTGCATGCTCAGGAAATATTCTTACCCCAAGCCATCTCCCCAGAACTCATGAACAGTTGCATTTTTGTCAAACCAAATGGAGTCCAAAAACCAGCCCTTTAAAAAATTCAACAAGTTTAGCTTTAAAATTTGCAAGAATAAAATAGCACTATTTGTGGAAAAGTGAAATACTAATGTAAACATCAGTTTTCCGTGTACCTTTGTGCTTTCCTTGACGGACAATCACCCTCAAACAAACAAATACCCTTGATTTTCTATCACAGATCAATTAAAGAGTGGGGAGATGCCTTAGTTGGGAAAGTGTTTGTCACATAAGCATGATAATTTGGGTTCACATCATCAGCACCTATGTAAAATGTTGGGGATAAGGCAAGTGCCTGTAACCCCACTTCTGTGGGGGTAAAGACAGGAGACCTCTGGGTTCACTGACCAGTTAGTCTGACTGAACTACTGAGTTCCTGGGCAAGGAAGAGACAAAGCCTTAAACACAAAACAAACATGGTAGAAAATAATGAGTAAGGCACCCACCCAAGGTCAACGTCTAGCCATCACACATCACATTCTTGCACATGCATGTACTGCCTTACACACACAGGCAAACACGTATACACACAAATGTCACATACAGCCAAACACAAACTAATAAAATAGAGATAAAGTAAGAGTTAAAGCTCAATTCGATAAAACATATAAACAACTTTATTCCACATCTTCTGTTATATTACAAATATGTACAAGTGCAGTAATAAATTAAAAACCAATCTGAGAAGAGCTCCTTTTATCCCGTCATCTCTGAGAGTTCATCTGATCCAAGAGGCTCATGGGCTTCCACTTAGGCAGCTTTGTTTTCCCAGCAGATCTCAAACACACAGAACTGTGCTGCCTCCGCACAGCAGAGGTGTGCGAATAACAGAAACCCAGAAGAGGATCAACCGCAGTCAAGAAGTGTTGATGAACATTTGTACAATCCGTATAAAACTCTGCAAAAATTCCTTGATGTCTTTCTCCTCCAGTTCCTCACACTCCTTGCAGCCATATTCTGTTATATTCTGCAATCAAGAAGGAAGAATGCATTTCTTTGTTGGAGTTATTATATTATTTGAAACACATGGTGGGGTCTTCAGACACGACAACATTGGCAAACCAATATCATGTTAAAAACAACTGTGAGAAAGAATCAAAGACTTGATAAGGATTGGTTTTACCTACATTGTGTTAAGATCTTTGCAAATGCACGGGTCATGCATGTTAGACTGTGTTCTTCCAGCTTAATGCCCATCAATGGATTCTTTATTTCTCTCTTGAAGCCCCTACTTCTCTAATGTTCCATGGCCTCTGTGACATGTCTTTACCTATTTCATCTTTCCATGGCCTGGAATGCCATATCCTTAAGACACCAAGAGAGTACTTGCCATATACGTATACATATACATATACATATACATACATATGCATATCATAGACTTTTAACATTTTTACACTATTGTTGTCTAACCATTCCTGGGAAGCATAACCATATACTTTTGTTTCCCAGCATTAAGCACAAGGCCTGGCACACATTAGCTACCTGAATGTTATTGGTTAATTTGAACCACTTAGGCAAATTTCATAAATATAGGTTCAGGGACAACTAGACTATTGTAAGTGCAGCAGTCATGAATAAACATTTTCTTTTCGAGATCTTCTGAACTATGAAGACTGTGCCAGCAAAAATTAAAATTAGGTTTCACATCCATTAGGTGTTTGGAATTCAGATTCTCCAGTATATATCAGATATACACTGTTTGCCAGACATTGTCATAATGCTTACACTGCTCTCTACTTGGTCCTGAAAACAATGTCAGAGAGGAAAGCAAAGCTCCTAAATGACCCATCCCCACTGACACAGTAAACTGAAATTCTACATGGATCTCCCAACCATGCAGTCCTGTTAATTTTTCTAGTACTTATGCCAAACTGTCACATTGGAGTGGCACCAGCAGGCAGCCTAAAGCTCTGCATTGACACTGTCATGAGTTATTTGTTGACCTTCTTACCATTAATAAATGGCAATAACATGTCACAGAAGTAATTTAACCATGAATAGATTCGCTTGCCAAGTATCCCGAATGATTACCTGTAAGAACTGTATGTTCTGGGAATCGTGATAAAACATTCAAAAAACCCTAGGGTGAATATGCTCTGAAGCTCACTTTCTAATGGTGACAAATAGACAATGATTGCTACTGAATCTAGGACATGATTTTCAGAGTGTGAGACATGTAGAGAAAAGAATGGGGAGAGATGATGTGGGGAAAGCAAGGCGAATGTAAATAGCCGACATCAATAAGAAGGTGGCATCTGAGCAGGCACAAAAGGCAGCCCAGCATGTGGGAGAAGCCAAAGCATCTCAAGGTCATTGGTCTCCCTGTTGTGTCCACCTAAAGACACTCCCTGAGTGTCACAGACACGCATTCCCTGACCTTTGTGTAAACATCCCAGTTTAATGGCTAACTGCTCCTTCCCTGGTTCCCCCATACACACATGCCCCCTCTGGTGCTACTGGGATTAATGACTAACTGGCTGGTTCACTCATTCACTGACTGGCTAATTCACTTCCCTCCTTCCTTTATAATAGGGACTACAGAGGCTTTAACACAGTATGCTGAAGTACTTATTACATGAAATTTTTACTGTGCCTCCTCTGGTGACATAATTCCTTTGTTTCTACATTGTTTTTCACCCCATGGTTGTGCTTTGAGGCAAACTTAATATGAGGCACAATTAATTCCATGCACTTCAGGGCATTTGCGAAGCTCATCCCTCGGTCGACCACAGGAGTCACTAGTATGTGCTTTCTTGTAACCCTCTCCTGCTCATGCTGTCTGTGATGTTCCAAACAATACTTGACTCTTTGACAGTTCTGGATATTATAATTTTCATTACTTACATTTTGGAAGGTGATAAGACAGAAGCTGGGGTAGAACCACTAGCTACCCAAGTTGGGAGGTGTGATTAGCACATCAGCATTCAAACAGAAACAAGGACAGCTAGTGGATCAGCATTATCCCTGGTGTAAGAAAGGACTTTGGGAACCCATTCCACATCCACTGAGAGAGAGATGCTCTCTCAGCCTGAACACATAGGGGTGGGGCTAGGCCCTGCCCAGGATGATATGACAGACTTTGGGGATCCCCCATGGAGGACCTTAGCCTCCCTGGGGAGCAGAGGGGGGATGGGATGGGAGGTTGGTGGGGGTAGGGGAAGAGGGGAGAGGGAGGGAGAAGGAATTGACATGTGAAGCAGGCTTGTTTCTAATTTGAACTAATAAAAATATAATTTCTTGGAGGAATAAAAAAGAAAAGAGATTCGTCTTGGTTTTTGAGGACTCAGTTCCTTATCAATCTAAAGCATAAAGAGCAGTGTGTGACAGCCACTAAGGACTAACCCAATAAATGCGAGCTATCATCTCTGATGTTCAACACTTGATTACATTAATGTCTATCCAGAGCACCTATGCACTTGCTTGCCTTTCCAATATGCTTCTCGTGCTGAAGCACACTGGCTATTCAGAAATGCCTGTTTGCCAAGGGAATCAGTGAGCTTAGGATGCTGTGCATACAAGCTCTGGTACCACTTTTGAATGTCACTCCAATGGAATGGAATTCTTTCTTGTGGTCCCCATAGGAGAACCTGCTAATGTATGAATGCCTAACCCCAAGCAAGCACAAGCCGTCAGATGCAGCTCACTACAGCTATTGGATCACTCACCTTGTTAGAAGACAGACTGCTGTTTGCTAGGAAGATCACGTTTCTTACTGTTTCACTTAGACGCTCATTACTGTACTCGTGTAAAATAACTCGTAATTCCAGCAGAAAGCAATTCATTGCAGTAACTTTGCAACTGGGCTAAAAATAGGAGTTGCAAGGAGCCCATTTAAAACAAACAAACAAAACTTCTCATTCTTCATTTTCACATTGATGAGACTTTGATTTAAAAAAATCAGTCTCATCTAGTTATCTTACAAAGAAATGTAATATCCATCCTACTTAGTTTTAACTGTCAACTTGACACAACTTAGAAGATAGTCTTAATGAGGAATTTTCTCTCAGGTTAACCTGTAGGCATGTCCCTAAAGGCTTGTCTTTATTGTTAATTCATGGAGGAAGACCCAAACGACTGTGGGTGGCGCCATTCCCTAGGCAGCAAGGTCCGGAGGGGTATAACAGTGAAGAGAGCTAGCTTATAGGAAGCAAGCAAAAGAATTCCTGCAATTCTCCCGTCTCTGTTCTCGTATGGTAATTGGATGCTTTATGTTTCCTGACCTGACTTCCCATAGTTATGGACTCTAACTTGGAGTTGTAAGCCATATAAAGACTTGCTTCCCCAAATAGTTTTCTGTCTGTGTACTCCTAAGGGATTTTATTTATAAAGGAAGTGACTTTTTTCCCATTTGGTTTTGAAATCAAAACTAAAACCAATAACAATGAAGAAAGGTGGCACTATTGTACAGAAGGAAATGTGTGTTAAAGGCCACCATTCGTCACTGAGCATGCCTCTTCCATTCTGTGGGTGATACAGCAGTCTGGAAGTGACAGGGCATTTGTAAAAACAATTAGGGTCAGACTGTATGTTCACATTTGAAGGAGTGATAACTGCCAGTCATACTATCCCTACAATTCCAAGCAGAAAGAATTCCAAGAAACTCATGGTAAAAATCAAAGCAAAATAGTGCCTGCTTATGGGGTGGCCAAACCGGAAAGGGATGGTGAACAGCAGGAAAACATACTTCTTATAACAGTTACTAAACATCAAAAATACATAAATAAATAAAAAGAACAAAAGAAAGGAAAACATTTAATTAGATTCAACAGTGATTCAAATTAGGACCTGCCTCAATCTAATCTATATTCAAAATAGTGGAGTGTTTTCTGATTAGGAAAAAAAAAATAAAACAGAAAATACATTAAGATCAGGAGGGTGGTCTCTAGAGCTCACCCATGTGTTTGGTGAACATCTAGTTGTCTGAGTTTCAGACTCCAACATCTACTTAAGACTCTAAAAGTGGGGCACACAAACCTTCCATCTCAGAGAAGTTGCACTTGACAGTTTAGAGCCCACAGCAGGCAGTTTGGTTTTGGTTCTAGTTTCGTTTCTGTCATTGTCACTGTGATAAAATTCTCTGACAAAGAGCAACTTCAGGGAGAAAGGATGTCTTTTTTTGCTCACAATTCCAGGTTCCAGTCCATCATAGCATCAAAGGTAAGGCATGAGGGACTTTTAAGACAGCTGCTCAGATCCACAGTTCCGAGCAGCAGAGACACTGCAGAATGCCCAGCTAGCCTTCTCTTCTCACAGTCCAGGCTTCAGCTTGTGAAGTGGTGCTGCCTCCATTTGGAGTGTATCTTCCCACCACAGTCACCCAGATTAAGAAAAATACCCTGCAGACACAGCCTCAGGCAAAAACTCATTGACATGCTTACCAGTCTATTTTAAACTGTGACACTATTAACAATTTAAACTGAATTAATGTTCACATTTTCCAAGCAGTGGCATTGGAGATCTATCCTTCAACTTTAGCAACAATCTAGAGTGAAAGAAGTAACCACATGGCCAAATGCCTACAACCACCATTATAATTAAGCTAGTTTTTCATTCAGAAATTCAAGTACATTGTTTGGATTATGTTTTTATCACAGAGACTAGTAAAAGGACTTCTTACAAGTGTAGAGATTCATGCAAAATACAAAACATGCATGCCCTCACAAAAGTTGCAGAAGTCATTATTGAAGATGGTTTCACACTACAGCGCTAAGAATGATGGGTATGGTGGAGATGTTTAGATTGAATCATTTAATGTTACTCTAGTTTCTAATTCTATGATGATCTAACTGCATCACAGAAACAGATGAGGGATTTTGTTTGACATTGATGGAAACATATTTGATTTCTATTTTGATTTGGCACCATTACAAAAGTAGCATTTATGTATCACTTTTTCCTAAGTCCCACAAATCCAATGATCCCTTAGAAATGTCAGGGGTCAAACACTGTGAGAAGCCAAGGTAAATTAGATTTTAAAACTGTAACTATTTCAGTGAAGTTTTGGGAATATGGCTGAAAAACTGGAAAACAGCAATTAAAAAATTAACTATACTCACATGAAAGTCACTGTCAGTGTATAAAGTAGCATCAATATGAATAGACTGAAAAGAGAAAACAAGGTAATATGGAAAATTTAGGTATAATAACAACTTCCTGTAAACAATAAATTTAGGCCCTTGAATTAATTTTGAATTTTGCAAATGATTTTAAGTTCCAGCAGTTGTAAGAGCACATATAGTGATCTGCTCTGCTACCTTTTCTGTGTTACCTGGCTGGTCCTTGCTTAGCCACAACAAAATTTTCTAACAGGGAATTCATGTTGATGTAACTTTCTCCCTTCTCCAGATTTTACCAATTTCATCCCCTTTTCCAATCCTACACTTTGATTATTTCTAGAATGCATAAGAAATAGAACCATATAGAATGCAACCTTTTAAGATTGGCCTTTTGAAAAATAACATTTTGAGTGGTTGTGTTATAGGAAAAAAGAAACCCCAGCAGATAGTGAGTTCACTATCTCTCCTTTATCTGATTCCAGTTCTCTCCATTGTTAATGTACTGCATACATTATGTACATTTGTTATATCCAATGATCGGACATTTTTACATAGCTACAGTTTGGTTGTTTAACACCCCCGAACTCTTGGTTCCAGGGTGGAAATGGTAAAAGCTCTTGCATAGGGGTCTAGGAGAGGGCCACAGGTCACTGGGATGTGACTTTGAAGGGAACTCTAGAACTGTCACGCCTTCATTTATATATGAATATTCATTTATATGAATATCTATGTATTCATACGAGTGTGTGTGTGTGTGTGTGTGTGTGTGTGTGTGTGTGTGTGTAGAGTGGGCTTTGAACATGCAATGGCAAGTATCCACCATTCTAAAACCATACACTGTAGTTGTGTTATAGAGCACTAGTACTCTGCCTGTTCATCCTTCCCTCCCACCTAATCCCTGCCAACCAGCCATCTTTGTATTTGCCCTCTAATTTTGTCTTCCCCACAAAGACAGACCATTGAAATCACACAGCATGAAGCCTTTTCAGATGCAGTTCCTTTACTGCATGGTATGCTTTCAAGGTGTTTGTTTCCTGGGCGTGGCCACCTATTTCTTTTTGTCACTGAATAACACTCTATTGTATGGATGCACCAGAATGAAGACCAGGGTGAATAAAAGTGGTGAGAGTTTTGTTTTCAGTCCCAAGGACAAGCGGTTTTCCACTCACTAGCAAGAGGGGTAGTTTAAGGTGTTCTAGTAGACATTTTATATTTATTTGGACACTTTGCCCTCCGTGCCTCCTCTGCTGAGAATTTTTGACTTGAACTAGTTCTACAGCAGTTCACTGAAGCTGCTACAATTTCATATGAGCTTAAATAAAGACATATACTTCAAATTCTGAAGGCAATCAGTCTCGGAAGGATGTACCAGTAATAGTCTCCTAAGACTTCTCCCTTTGCCTCATCAATGCCCCTCTTGTCTTCTCTCAGTCTCCACAAAGTATCTTCCTCCTGTGGGTACTTGTAGCATGGTGTTCTGTCTTTCTAAGGGCATTGGCCATATTGGATTCAAATCATCCAATTGACCCTATTTTAACTTAAATGGGCCCTTTAAAGATCCTGTATCAAAGCTCAATCATATTAAGAGGTATGGACAGTGATTAAGAAAGGAAGATCCATCCTGTATAAGAGGTGCTCTATTTATCATGTCTTCTCTAATCAATTGATATGATTTTCTCCTTAGGCTCCTGATATGTCAGAGTGGGCTGATTGATTGATTGATTGATTGACTGATCTTCAAATAATGAAAATATTTGCATATTTAGAATAAACTCTATATGTTGATGTGTAATTCTGTTTATATAGTACACTGATAGATCTGATCCCTAATGTTGTAACTGATCATTTTTATACTAAGTACATGAGAGTCACTTGTCTTTGGTTTCATATTTCACATCAGGGTAAGATGAGTCTCCCAATCTGAGTGGAAGGAGCTTCCTTCCTCCCATACCCTGGAAGAGGCTACGTACATCCTTTGCAATTTTTGCAATAGATTTCAGGATGCTGGAACAAATCCAGCTGTTACTGATGGTTCTTCTAGGAGGTTCTGTATAGTGAATTATATGATGTATAATGGTTATAGTGGTACTTGAACCTTTGATTTCATGTTTTGGGGAGTTTGTGGTATTTGAAGAATTTGCCTTTTTCCTATAAGTTATTGGTGCAGAATCTGAAGTTACAAGATACTAAGGGAAATGATGGTGAATTTGATCCCCACAAATTCTGTGCTGATAGCCTCCAGTCACCCATGGTACTGATGCTGTATATCCACTATCTTATTATTAGATGTTTATTAATTTGTTTATGTTTCACCGACTTGCCTACCTCTTTCCAGATTTCAGCTTCATTCATTTCTGCACTGAAATCTATTCTTTTCCTCACTCTGCTTGTGCTGAATTTATTTTGTGATTCTTCTAATTTGGGGAGACATAATTTAGTTTGCTGGCTTGTCTTAGCACATTTCCTCTTTTCTAATACATTTATTTGATTTTTTAAAATTTCCTCATCTTAACAGTTCACATCTTAATGGATGAGATTTCATTTTATTTGGTTCTATGTGTTGTTTTTTTGTATATTTGAGAATCAGTCTTTAACCCATGAATTATTTAGAAATACATTTTTTAACTTGTAAATTTGGGGGACTTTGCTGGTTTTTTCTTTTTTCATCTCCAGTTTGATTCTATTGTGTTCTAAACATACTTTCTGCACAATCAAAATTTTCGTTAGTTTCATGAACCTCACTTTGTGTCTCAGGGTATATATTTAGTCTTGGAACTATTCTATGACAATTTTAAAAGTTTGTTCTGATGTTGTTGAGCAGAATACTTCATGCATAAAGTAAATCACATTAGTTGGTTTTGTCATGGTTTCTATCTTTCTGGAATTTATACTTAATAGTTTATTTTAGTTTAGTTATTGGACTGGAGACAGTAAAATCCACAACTGTAATCATAAATTTGGTCTGTTTCTCCTTTGGACTGTTAAATTTGTGTATCATGAATTTTGAGACTCTGTTGCTTAGTGCACATATATTAAGAATCAATGTTTTTTCTTCAGGAATTTTCTTTGTTCATTAATGTTGCTCTTGGAGTTAGCAGCTATATTTCCTATCTATTGACTTTACCTGATACTAATATAAGACTAATAATGGTCTTGATTGTGACTTCCCTTTTCTTGGTATGATTCATGATTTTTCCTTGTATCTGGGTATGATAGCTATTATGTTAGGAGAATCTAGTCCTACTTAAGTATTCTGTTTTAATATGCAGTAAATCACCTGTTGAGATGTTTTGCCTACAGTCTGACTTGTATTTTGTGTTGTGATTCTAATAGCATCTCATTTCAAGGACCTCTGTGGGCCTTCCATTGTAATCCTCACTCACTTTGTTAACAGTCACCTATTTAGACCAGGTTCTCTGTCCTCTTTGGTAGATGATGGAAGACACTGGCCCATAGGGACAAAACATACTTCTAGAACTGTCATTTGGAATGCATTCCTGGGCTTTCTTGACTATCTTCAATAGAACCTGCTCCTAGGACATCTGGTACCTCTAGGCAAGATGATGATCTACGATGCCCAGAAAAGATATTTCATTCTAGTGCTAATGTCACATTGGGTCCCCTTCATGGAATCTGTTTCCAGCTAAGGAAAATGAGTTTCTGATTTGTGAGGAATGGAGTTCCTTAGGCTACATTACTTGGATACTGCATTTATTTTTTTAATTCTTCAGTAGTTACTTGAAAATTTTGTAGACTTTTTTTGATATTTATTCTTCTTATAACTCACCATGTCCACACACCTTCCCTTCCCATCCATCTTTGTGTCATCTTCTTTTCATTTTAAGTCATAAAGTGCGGCCCATGTACCCTTCCTAGATGTATGGCCTCCACCTGAGCTAGATGATCTCACAGGGGCAACACCCCTAAAGAAAACTTGTTCTCCCTGTCTCAGCAATGATTAACTGCTAATATGTCCTCAGATAGGAGTGAACTTCATGTCAACTTCTGCAGTTCATAATGGCATTTTATTTGGCCCGAGCTTGTGCGCATCTTGAGTATGCTGTCATAACTGCTATCAGTTCATATGTACAACTGGCCTGTTGTGTTGAAAAAAAAAAAAAACAAAACAAAACACTGTTTCCTTGTAGTCATCTACTGACTCAGGATCTTACAGTTTTTCCAATACCTCTTCTACAAAGATCACCACATCTTTGGAAGAGGGTTGTGATATGGATTTCCCATTTAGGGCTGATCCCATTTAAGACTGAGCATTGTACAGTCTATCATTCTCTGCACATTGACCAGTTGTGAGTCTCCGTGTTATCACCATCTACTGCAAAAAGAAGCTTCTCTGACGAGGGCTGGGAGATGCACTAACATATGGGTATAATGATAAGCCATTAGAAGTTGATTTCAGGCTATACAGTTAGCAGAATAATAGTAATAAGTTCTCCACTAGAGCCTAGGACCTGTCTAGCCACAGGTAACTCTGATAAAGGTGCAAGTTTTAACAATAATTAAAACTTGAAAGCAATGCCTGATGAGGCTTTGCAAACTTCATATCTTTCTTCACAAACATCATTATTTCAAAAGGTATTTCATGAGAGCTTGTAGAAAGACACACAAGATGCATACTTCATAGTCATCATATGATCTTCTGGGAAAAAATGACATCAATTATCTTACCTAGCACTGGCTCCTACACAGCACAATAACGAGCCAGCCATGCAAGATGTGGCTAGTGGCATGACTGATTTGGATAACTGATTTTAAGAAACTTCATGCCTGGAACTATAATCTTCATCAAAAGCCCCTGGCTGGGAGGTCGTACACCCTAGGGTAGAACCTGCTACTACTATTTTCTTAATGACAGTTCTGTCAAATTACTTTCTACATATTTATTGTTGTGTCCACAGATCTGGTATCCTATTAGCCTTAGTCACAGAAACTTCTTTTGTCAGTGGGAAGCAATCAGTGTTGACCCATAATTAGTCAAAGTGCTGCCAAGAATCCATCAGCTGCTCTGTACTAAATGAGATATCAACCCACCCTCATCCCACCAAGGCTCAGGAAATGCCCATGAAAAGGAAGCAGAAAAATTTAAAAGCCAGAGGGTGAGGAGGACTGCAGTGAAATGCTGTCTTCTGGATGTGATGTGGCTACCATGTGCATGAACGCACAGTATTTTGTTACCTGAACAGGATTGAGTCTACCAAAATGGCAGTAGAGCAGAGATGTACTCTCCTGGCTCTGTCCCCATAAGGCTGGAGTCCTGGGGCAGGGAAAATTATTCTTTTTTGATGGTGTCCCCATTCTTACTTTCCCGTGTTCCTGTTGGAGGGCTACACATCCATGTACATACTGGCAACACTAATTGGACTTGGTGGGCTTCAAAAAAGCAAGAAAAAAGATACAAATTTGGGTGTGGACACAATGAGGAGATAGAAGGGGGGACTTAGGAGTGAAAAGGGAAGTATATATGATCATATGTTCATTATATTCATGTATGAAATTGAAATATATATATATATAAAATTTAACCAAAAAGAAAAGAGAAATGGAAGCCGAGTACTCACTTGGATAAGAGACTCAATGTATTTTAGATCACTTATCACATCTTTCCAGTTGGCTTCTGTTTTAGGGAGACCCACACTGACACAGCTGAAAGAAAACACAAAGACAAGCACTTTGAAAGAGGGTGCCTTGTCTGGCTGAGTACATAAACAGAAAAACAGCCAAGTTCATTATATTCTCAATAAGGGAAAAGCCCAGGCCTTTTCTGTCTCTGTGCAACCAACAGCCCAGTGGGTGAATAGAACCATCAAATATATGGTACAACTTTGATACTCTGAGCTAATTCGAGGATGGCAGTCCACTCTTGAGGATTAGAGAAAAGCTGACTAGATAATTTGTAGGTAATCACATGTAGTTTATCACAATGAAACTGGAATAGCATCTGATGTGTGGCATGCTCAATACATGTTCCTGAAATATTTGTTTCCTTGAAGTACAGTTTCCATGAGACTTTTAGGGCTAGTCTTTATCAGGTGACAACTGTGAGAGTAAATATCCCTTTCAGTATGTCAAATGCCTCTTCCATGATCCTCACATAGTCATGGAAGATTTAGCTAAATACAAGATGGATGGTCAGAAACTTATTCACTTTGCTTAAAACTGAAATGTAGCATCTAGAATTAAAGACACATCGATCAAGTGGCACTGGAGTGATTCTTAAAACCTCAGGAAAAACAGATATTCTCAGAAGGGTCATGGGCAAAACATGCCAGCCAATGGCAATCCGCCTAATGAGAACAGTGTGCATTCATGGTGTCAGTAAACGGGATACTTCTAGCAAGAAGCTCAGTTGCTGTGGGGGACAGAATACACATATGGAATACTGCCAAGGTGTAGAAATCTTCAGTTTGTCAAGTCCCTGAGCATCTCCACAGTCTCCTGCTTGTCATACACACAAGTAAATTGAACATAGTACAGTCTCAACAGGAAGAAATTCAAGAACAAATGATCATGGCCATTATCATATAACAGTTAAAATAAAAGATGAAATTACCCCAAAATGAAGACATGAATGCCAGCCTCAGTTAAAAAATGACTGTTCAGAAGAAAACACAAGTAGCACGAGATGGATTTATTCCTCATATATGGTTTCTGGAAAACATAATCATAAACAATATGGTAAAATATCTCTAGTTAAAAACATGTATGAGTGCATTTTGTTGTATTTTAGGTGTAAAATTTAAAGCTGTCATTTCACAATCAACATTCTTTATCAGAAACAGTGAAGTTTCAGTGAATCTTGTGTTTTGTTTTATTCTGATCTCCAACTGTGTCGATGAATAAAACTCACCAATAGACATTTTGGAGGACAATGATACACTGACATTCTTAGCAATTGACACACATACCCTTTGGACCAGTCAGCTCTTTTTGTCACCATTGACTTCCCTTCACCCTCCCTCCTTTGTAATAGACCACATATCACATACAGCACAGATTATTAATGTTAAACAATAGCAAGAGACCAATTGTATGTTAATTTCATGTGAGTATATGGAAATTAAAATACATTACTATCACATGAATAAAAACTGGATAAAAATGAAACTAGTAAAGGTATTTGTGCCAGATAGTGCATGCCATCAATCCTGGCACTAGAAAGGCAGAGGCAAGTGAAATTCTCTGAGGTTGAGCCTGCTATATGGTGAATTCCAGGCTACCCAGGAATAAGTAGTGACAAGACCCTGTCTCAAGAGATGCATCCTTTCCCATTCTTATCAGCTACGACATACAGCTTTTCCTGGTTATTTAGAACCTTATTTGTCTGAGACAGATCCAAATTTGATTCTTTAACCTGACTCTTTAGTGTTTTTAAAAACTTTTGTAATAACAGAGAACAATGTCAGACAATTCCTCAACCACTAGAAGTCGGTGTTCTATTTTGTCTCTGCAGAAAAGATGCATAACAGCAGACCTTGCCCTCAGAGGCATAATTTTTGTGGTACATAGACGTTTAGCGAACAAGGGAGACTGAACTAAGTAAATAATGCATTACCAATGGCACAGATAGAACGGGCAGACTATTAGTGTTGTTTACAAAAACCCACATCACTTATCTATAAAATAAAGACAAACCTTGGGAAAACAGATGTCGGTCACAGCCAGAGATATTTAGAGAATAATCATGCATCTTATAAAATATAGCTGAGATTAAGGTGACCTTATAAGAAAGCAATATGCTATTTTTATCTGCTTTTTCCTTACCAAAATTTTCATTACTTAATGCCCAGGTAAATGCTTAAGTGTTGAAGAGCTGGCTATGGCGATGGGCTTCCAGCAGCTATCCATACAGAACACCTCCTGGAACATAACCAGGGTAAAGGATGACAATCAAAAACACAAGTGGGCAAGTCAGGGGCAGACAGAGAAGGACCTGTGTTTATGGATCATCTTCTTCCCAAAGAGTGCCCTACGTGTTCCCTAAAACATGCATCCCATCAAACATTCCTGAGAGCATTTGGGAAACCAATCTGGCCTCATGACTGCCAACTGGAGACCATATTTGCTGAATGCAAAGAACAGAGCCTTTCTTTCTCACTATGTCCTAGATCTAACAGAGTCCAGCACCATATTAATTAGAGTTAGAGGCATCCAAATACATAGACTCAAATAACCACAAACTGATGATGTAATTTACAGTGAGAGTTACATCTACAGGCTTCAAATAGACATCTTAGGTCTGCTCTTCAAAATAATTCATGTGAACCCCATTTGTCAATTCCCTAAATAGCAAAATTATATTTTTTCAAACTCAAAGTAGAGGAACATGTGATGGTTACACACTCCCATTCAACTCCATTTCATTAAAATATTCAAACTCAAAATATGTAAAAATATGCAGTCTTCCTAGACTTAAAAATGATACATATTAGTTGCCCTTACCAACAAAAATATCAATTATCTTTTGCTTCACTAATATAATTTATCACAATTATCTTAATTTTTATACTTTTAAAATGCTTCCTAATGTGCAAATATTTGCTGTAAATTATGTGCAGAATATTACCCTTATTTCTATGGTGTGTGTGCTTGTGTGTGTGTCTGTGCATCTGTGTTTGTGTCTATGTGTGATTGTGTCTGTGTGTGTGACTATGTATATGACTGTGTGTATGTGTGCCTGTGTGTGTGCATGTGTGTGTGTGTGCACGTGTGCGCGTGTTTGTGTGAGTGTTCGTGTATGTGCTATGCACATGCCATTGTGCATGTGTGGAAGTCAGAGAAAAATTGTGGGGGTTCCCTTTCTCCTTCCAACACGTGCATTTCTGGGATCAAACTTTAAGTCATCAGGCTTGTCAGCAAGTACCACCACCTACTGAGTCATCTTGTCATTTTGTATAAGTATAATTAAAAGAGGGAAATAACCTAACATTTATCGGGGGTATAAAACAAGATACTCGAGTTGTGTGGGCAATGCTGAGCTTCTGCACAGTCTTGACCCTTTGTTCCATGTGGCTCTGGCATTAGACTTCCCCTTCCAGCAGGAGTTCATATATTAAGCTTACTTGTGCAAGGACCAGAAAGGCTGAGCCTTGTTTATGCCTATGGCTGATGTTTGCCCCCAAAGCCTAAGTCACTTGAACTCACGATGAATGGAAAGCATAAGCAGCAAAGATTCTAGAGGCAGCTAGGTCTTCCAATTCAGCCTCCATTGACCTTTGTGTGATTAGTCTTTATTTTCTGACTTACACCTCAGTAATACTTGATTATCTTTTCCTTGGGTCGCCTGTTGTTCTTTATCTGGGACAGTGTTCTGACTGTAGTCTTTTTTCCAAGGAGCATGACTTTCCAGTTCACCAGTAATAGGAGCTTGTTATGTCTGTGTATGCTCTAGGCATGGTAACCTGCAAGTGACAGACAACACACAACAGGCAGAGAACTGGATTTAAAACTGTGCATGACAAGTAAGTGGGTGTTGTAAGAAGGGACCAGAGAGGGAACTTGAACGTGGTAAGGGCTGTGGAATAATATGCATAGGGTGTTTTCTTTCTCTATTGCAAGTCTTCAAAGCAAAGTGTTATTCTGATCATATCTTAAAAAATGGGCAGATGTTAGCTATGAGTGAGGCCTGAAACAGTGTGACATTATGGAAAACATCTGAGCAAGGACATGCGCACCGAGCAGTGTGATTACAGAGTGGTGAGTCATGTTCTTAACAGCATGAAAGAGGGAGACACAGTAGGCATGCTGCCACTACTATACAAATCAGAGTCATTTTCTACTAAGGGCTATGTAACAAGTAGTTCCTACTTTCAAAGTCTTGTAGTATTGGTCATAATTACATTGATATCCACTGCAGCTTGAAAGTAGTTCCAGATAATTAATGGGGATTGGCTGCAACCCAACTCAGCTTCATTAACAAAATAGGTGTCTGGTGCCTCTGACTCCCCAACCATCTCTTGATAAACAAATAATTTGTTTTGCTGACAATGCCTGGCCCCTGTGGATCCCTTACTCCAGCCTCATTTAAACACAGCTTAGAAAGCCATAGCTTTTGATGTCTTATACCTTTTACTGGCAGTTTTTCAGTAATTGCTGTCAAGTTGCCTTTGCAAGGGGTTAGTGAGATTCTTTAGGAATCCCACCTAGTTTCCATTAGATTAAGTTGTTACGAAAAAGCCAGCCTGCCTTATCATTTCACCATGTGCTTTATCCTTCTTGTGTATACTTTCACCATGGTGAAGCCACATACAACCCAAGGGACGCTGTCACCAAGGCCAAACTGATGAGGCCACTTGGTTTTATACTTTCAGCACCAGACAGTGAGTTAAATACACCTCCTTTCTTTAGAGGTGGCCAGCCTCAGGGATGTTGTAAAAGCAACAGGAAATAGAATGGCACATGTTTCTAAACCTTACAGTCTACCATAAAACAAAATAAATAAATAAATAAATAAATAAATGACCAGTTAAGATATTTCTTGCTTTTAAAATATCACCTCACGTAAAGATATATAGGCATATACATTTGTATTAATGAAATAACTTAAAGTTCTTGGGAATGATGAAAATGAGATCAGTTGCTCGGTAAATGAAATTGTTCCTAGAATAAACATTACCTGTCTAATTATGACTGAATGGCTGGTTAGCAAGCATAAGGTCCAGGCTAACTAAGTTATAAGCCCTATCCAAGAAACATTAGACAAAATTAACTTAAAATTGATATAAAATAAATACAAAACATTTGTCATTATATGCTAGGTGGACTTTTCTAGGTTTTTTTTATATGTAGTAAAAATGTTTTCAAAAACTGTTTTCATAAGTGTTCTTGAAAAATTCCACCTAACCAACTCTGTGGGGCAGACATCCTGCATGGCTTCTTTGGAAAAACAACAACAAAACTTAGCCCACTGTTCAGTCATTAGGACATCTCATTCCAGAGATATCTTAAAAACACTTTGTTCAAACACTAATGAAGGGAGAAGAAATTCTGCCAAGGCATTCTGCATGGGATGAAAGCTGGAAATTATGGCAGAGAGCTAAAAATTACAATGTACCACCTAAAAGGAGTTCTAGAAGGAAACAAAAAAGAATGGAAAAGATTAGGTAACCAAAAAAAGAAAAGAAAGGACGTATTCTAAACATATATAACTGGTATAGTGGTTCTATCACAGAAATCAGAATTCAGGTGGCAGAGTAGAAAATAAAACCCATGAGAAGACAGAGCAAGTATGATGTGTACACAGGTAACAGAATAGCCCCAATTATATACTGAAAAAAAATAGGGGAAAAATACATTAGGAAAGTGGTCATGTCCTCCAAAAATTTAAATATAAAGGCCAGTAGAACAAGTGCTGTCATGTCAGTAAAATTTGGCAATTTCCATTCTACCACCACTTCATCCTACTGATTTCAAGTTACTAATGGTTTAACAACTAGATTATATGCTTTCTGACTGAGTGGCCATTGGCTCCCTCATTTCAGCGCCTAGGGTAAAGTTTCAAATACAACTTCTTTGTTCTGTTTGTGTGTGTGTGTGTGTGTGTGTGTGTGTGTGTGTGTGTGTGCCTCCCTCTCTCCACTGCACACAGTGTGGGTGGGTGGGGGTGTGTGTATGTGGGAGAGAGAGAAACAGACAGAGACAGAGACACAGAGAGACAGGAGAGATAGGGAGATGGTGACTTCTGTTTTACAGAGATAACAAATTTCAAAGCATAGTAAACATAAATAACATTCATAAAGCTGGTATACGGCTCAGACCTAGAAGTCTTTATTCTTTATTTTAGGCACAAACTACAGTCTCAATTAGAAAAACTTCAAATTGAATCTGAGAAGCTATGATTGTAAGTCAATACAATTGAGTGAATTTGAATAGTATTAATTACACTGTTTTCAGCAATATCAGATTACAAAGCAATACTATATCAATAGCAAATAAAAAAGACATAAATACTGTTATAATTACCAAGTGATCATTTAATTATCTTGGTGTGAAAATAAGTTATTATAGACATTTTATTTAATGGAAATACCTGTAAAATATGGTGAAAGCATAATTATGAAAATTATTACATACTTTCATAGGATATACAGTAAATATATTTATTTTATTATATATTAATTACAAGGAGTTAAAATCCAAGGAACACATGAAAAATATGATAAAGTATTTATAAGACACCAGCAAGTCACTGACATAGGAAAAGGTGATTAATAAGACAAATGATTCTTTGAAAGCAAGATTGTTGAAAGCTAAAATGAAAACTCAAGTATATGCATATTTAGAATATGCATTAGAATAAAATGGCCAATATGAATATGGCTTGAATAAATTATACATTCTGAAAATCAATCTGAACACTGATATTCTAAGAAAATACAAAGCAGCATCCCTAGAGAGTGAAGTAAATCAAATTAGATTAACATCGTCAAAATACACTAAAATCTAGATAAAATTCATGAAATAGGAAATCTCTGAATCCTTGACACAACTTTTTCCAAAAAGTCAAGTAATCCATGTATTGTTGTAATATAAGATTACCCTAATTTGGGGCATTAAAATCTGATATCAAAATTATGATTTATCTCCCCCCCAAATTATTATGTATTATATGGAAATAGATCTGAATCCCCAAAATAAAGTATAATAAATTTCATCCAGGAATATGTCAAGAGAATAATGTAAATAGGATTTTATCCTTGAGGTAAAGATGACCGGTACCTGAGAACATCTCATGCCATCGGCATTATTTCACAGACTAAAGGAGAAAAGCCATTTATTTGGTTTTGTAGGTAAAGAAAATACTTAATAAGTTAGCATAAATTCCTAAAAACAACAGTCAAAATACGCTCTTGAAGAAGGCCACTAGGATACAAAAGAAAGCTTCTGGCAGACATGAATATTTATCGGAAGCTTAAGGGATGTCCTAAAACCATGAGTTCAAAAAAGACGAAGCCAGGAGACATGGAGAGGGGAAATGACAGAGAGCATGGGAAAGAACAACACCTGCCCCTTCTTACATGTGGGCTTCCATGAAGGGGTTCTGACTGATTTGGCTTGCTGGTCACAGCTGACTTCGACCATACAGTAGACAATTACATTTCCTGTGCATGCTGAAAACCTGCTCTCCTGAATGCAAACAGCATTTTGTAGTTTGGTTTGTATATTTCTGAAACAGGGTCACATATTCTAAATGACCTACATCTTCATTCCTAGGAAAGCTATTATTAAAAAGCCTTGTTTGTTCTTTTTACAAAAATGGATTGCATTTCAGGTCTCCAGAGCATATTTTTGCACATGCAGTACAATGGGGCTTGCCTTCAAGGTAAACGGGAGGGGGGAGGGGGGAGGTGCCTCAGGGAATACAGGACCTATAACTGCAGGACCTTTGTGGCGCTCTGAAGCTGAGACACTCTTGGTTCTTCCACTTTAGGAGACAAGACAGGGAACAAAAATTCTGCAAGTGTCCCTCACTACCCCTCAAGGTGCACTGGAAGAAAGTGAGCCCTGGGAAATGTGTATCTTCTTAGGGATTACCAAGTCTTAGGTCTAACAATTGGAATAAAATGTTCTTTATTCCTGGGGAAAAGCAGTCACACAGCTACATTCATGAATGGGGAAAATGGGCATTCTTACCTCAATACAATCTGAGCCTAGTGTAGTTATGAAGCATTCAATATGAACTTTCTTGGGTAAGACATTTTAAAACTCCCCTTTTGCAAAAGTTAGGGAAGAGGATTGAAGTAAAGTAGACACAGAATTACTCCTGGGTCAAAGTCCATGTGCTAAAAGAAGACATTTATAGTCTGTCAATGAAAGAGTAAAGGGAAAAGTATGCTTCAGACAGAGGCAGATTCACCACAGCATCCTTGAGTGTGCTATGCACTTCAGACAGAGGCAGATTCGCCACAGCATCCCGGAGTGCACAGTGCACTTCAGACAGAGGCAGATTTGGCACAGCATCCCGGAGTGTAGCTGCCCCTCTTTTCCTGAGAAAGCCCCATGCAGACCTGCTGCGGAGGTGTGCAGGTTGCCCAGAGTGGTGCTCTTATTTTGCCTAAAAAGCAAATAACCAACATTTCCTTTTATCTGTCCACTTCCCAGTGACAGCCTGACCCTACTATCATCTCAGGGACGATGCAGACTGGCTAATAACACTAAGGATGTAAACACGGGGATTCCAGGACCTGACTTCCGGGCCCTTTTTATTTCACACCCTCTCACCGTGTCTCGAAGTAAGACTGTTGAACAGGAGAGACAGAGGAGTATATGAGAGCAGGCTGCTATGGCTTCCTTAAGCCCTACCTCCACCAGAATGCCTGGGCTGGAAGAGAAACGTGGCATTTGTAATAACAGCTACTTACTAAAACCATCAGCTATTAGAAGAAAAATACCAATGAACTTT